GAAGAAGAAGAAGAAGAAGAAGAAGAAGAAACAGTCAACCTATGAGTGAAACCCTCAGCCTAATTCCCAAATTAGGGAAGGAGGAAAAATGGGCAGAAAGGGTTGGGAGAGAGAGAGAGAGAATGAAGGAGGAGAGAGTATGACCTGCTCAACGGTATTTGGTGTCTGTAGAGACTGGCAAAGTGGAAGGCAGAGAGAGCCAAGGACAGGCAGAACCACTAAATTCTAGTTGTTTCCCATCCTCCTTCCTACTGAGTTCTACTCAGACAATACTGAGATAAGGGAGAAGATTGGTAACAACTGGTGCCATGCCCTGGACAGACTGTTAAGTAGGCCTGCAGGTCGGGGCTGGCTGAAGGCAGACTGAAACTGGTGGAGCAGTGACCCATTCATACTAATGGAGCAACCTCCACTTTTGACTCCAGCCCCATGCACCTCTAGTTAGAATTACTGATCTATGATTGCAGTCATGGGACTTTTGTCTTTCACATGACGGTATATGTTTTGACTCCACAGAGTGGGAAGTGACGAATACAGAATGTTTGTGTACCGTAAAGTGGGACTATTGTCCCTTTGTTCTTTTTCTCTTTGCTGTCTGATGCTAGAGAGAGAGGGAGCCATGTTGCAGTGCTCCGTATGTGTTTATATGTAAATAAAGTAGATTAGCCAAAATGCTGACTTGCTGAGGTCTGTTATGAAAGTTGCGCAAACTCTGATCCCTAAGTGTGCCGGTGTCGGTTGGCATTGGTCACTGTGATGTTCAGGCTGAAGAAAGCTTTGGAAGCTCCTGAGCAATCGACCAGGAGGGAGGGAACATGCCAGTTGGGCATGTCTCTCTGCCAGGGTCCTACTCAAGTGTAGGCTGAACTCATGACACCTCCAGCCCCCTTGTGGGAATCTAGTGATCAACAACAACAACAATTGCCTACCCCCACACTAAGAGGCATAATGATGTAGAATTCAAGGACCGGCTGGGACTCTTTGGGCTCATTTCATTGAGAAAATCTATCGCACAAACCCAGCTGAAGTGAATGGCAGCTGAAGCCATAGCATTTGTGGAGGGCAGCTTCCAGATAAATTGGGCCTTTTATGAACTGCACATAAGCACACATCCAATCCTTGAAGATAATGGGTGATTAATGAGTTGAAAACAGCATGGCTATTTTCTAAAAGATAAGGTTTGATTTAACCTCTCCTCTACATATGCCGTCGTGCTGTTGTTTTCGCCACCTTCACACACAGATGCCTCTCTCTGCATGCAATAAACCTGCCGATGAGATGGGAACTGTGTGCAGTCTGGTATGGGGAAGAAAGCAGGTGAAAGGTGCAATAAGAACATCGGAAGAGCCTGCTGGATCAGGCCAATGGCTCATCTAGTCTAGCATCCTGTTCTCACAGTGGCCAGCTAGATGCCCATATGGGAAGTCCATAGGCAGGACTCAATAATAATAATAATAATAATAATAATAATAATAATAATAATAATAATAGTAAATTTTATTTATACCCCGCCCTCTCCAGCCAAGACCGGGCTCAGGGCAGCTAACACCCGACATTAAAACAAATTGATTAAAATACAGCTTAAAAACAAGATTAAAATACAACATAAAAACATTAAAATACAGCCTCATTTCAATGGAAACTCAAACCAAAAACTTTTTGGGGGATGAAAATGTCAAGTCTTCACCAAGGCTAACTTTCCAGACTGGTCCTACGTGGGCTAGAAAAAAGCCAGGGAAGTCCCCAAATAGAAGTTCCATCACAGAAGGAGAAAGGAAAAAAGAAGAGGGGGAGGGAATCAAATTGATTCCAAGCCAAAGGCCAGGTGGAACAACTCTGTCTTACAGGCCCTGCGGAAAGAAATCAGATCCCGCAGGGCCCTGGTCTCATGAGACAGAGTGTTCCCCCAGGCCGGAGCCAATGTTGAAAAGGCCCTGGCTCTGGTTGGGGCTAATCTGACTTCCTTAGGGCCTGGGACCTCTAGGATGTTGCTATTTATGGACTTTAAGGTCCTCCATGTGGCATACCAGGAGAGGCGGTCCCATAGGTATGAGGGTCCTAGGCCCTAGGACTCAAGCACAAGAGCCCTCCCCCTCCTGTGGTTTCCATCAGCTGGTATTCAGAAGCAGTTTCTCCTCCAGCTGTGAAGGCAGAGCCTAGCCATCATGGCTAGTAGCCATCAATAGCCTTCCTGAATTTGTCTCATCTTTTAAAGCCATCTATGTTGGTGGCCATTTATGGAAGTGAGAGCCATCTATGGAAGTGAGAGCTGGACCATAAAGAAGGCTGATCGCCGAAGAATTGATGCTTTTGAATTATGGTGCTGGAGAAGACTCTTGAGAGTCCCATGGACTGCAAGAAGATCAAACGCATCCATTCTAAGGAAATCAGCCCTGAGTGCTCACTGGAAGGACAGGTCGTGAAGCTGAGGCTCCAGTACTTTGGCCACCTCATGAGAAGAGAAGACTCCCTGGAGAAGACACTGATGCTGGGAAAGATGGAGGGCACAAGGAGAAGGGGGCGACAGAGGACGAGATGGTTGGATAGTGTTTTTGAGGTTACCAGCATGAGTTTGACCAAACTGCGGGAGGCAGTGGAGGACAGAGGTGCCTGGTGTGCTCTGGTCCATGGGGTCACGCAGAGTCGGACACGACTAAACGACTAAACAACAACAACATGTTGGTGGCCATCACTGCCTCCTATTGGAATGAGTTTTGTTTGGACTAAGCTCCCATCATCCCTGACAATTGGTCATCCTGGCTGGGGCTGATGGGAGTTGGAGCCCAAACTACGGCCTTTAAGCAATACAGTGGTACCTCGGGTTACAGATGCTTCAGGTTACAGACTCCGCTAACCTAGAAATAGTACCTCAGGTTAAGAACTTTGCTTCAGGATGAGAACAGAAATCGCGCAGCAGCAGCGCAGTGGCTGTGGGAGGCCCCATTAGCTAAAGTGATGCTTCAGGTTAAGAACAGTTTCAGGTTAAGAACGGACCTCCAGAACGAATTAAGTTCTTAACCCAAGGTACCACTGTATATAAAAAGCTTCAGTAAATCTGGAAGGCACCAAGTCAAGGAAAGCTCTCCCCTCCAAAAACCTAGGTTTAGATCCAAAATCTGAGCCTTTGTGTCCTTTTTGACCGAGCCCTCTGTTTAATTACAGTGTTTTCACATGAAGTGATGCCCCACTTTTACAGTATTCCCGAGGCAGGGATGGTTCCCCGACTGAGATAAAACCTGCTCTGAAATTAGACTTTCTTCTCTGGCTTCGCTCAGCTGTGACTGCAGGAGTTTTTTGGTACTGCGGGCAAGTAATCTCTTTATGGGATGTTTTATCATGGATCTTCACAAGACAACTATTAATCTTAAATCATACTTTTATCAAGTGTTTATTTTCTCTCTCCCCTCAGGCACTTTGGTGGATATCAATATCGCGCCTGTCACTAGGAGTTATGAACTGCATCTTCTATACTGCTATGCCGAAGCAAGAAGAGCCAGTAAGCATAGGAGATGGAATCAATTGGGATTTTTTGGTTATTGTTGTTGTGTGTGTGTTTTACAGATGTGCTCTCTTGGGCAAGCAGCTCTCTTTATTTCGTGGTTTGGCCATTCATGTTATCTGTGATTCCTGCATTACAGGCCTCGGTCCTGTATACCTGAAGCAGCGTCTCCACCCCCATCATCCAGCCCGGACACTGAGGTCCAGCTCCGAGGGCCTTCTGGCAGTTCCCTCCCTGTGAGAAGTGAGGTTACAGGGAACCAGGCAGAAGGCCTTCTCGGTGGTGGCGCCTGCCCTGTGGAAAGCCCTCCCAGCAGATGTCAAGGCAGTAAACAACTATTTTACTTTTATAAGACAACTGAAGGTGGCCCTGTTTAGGGAAGTTTTTAATGTTTGATGCTGTATTGTTTTTAATATTCGGTTGGAAGCCGCCCAGAGTGGCTGGGAAAACCCAGCCAGATGGGCGGGGTATAAATAATAAATTATTATTATTATTATTATTATTATTATTATTATTATTATTAGTTGGATGGGACCACCAAAGGTCATCTAGCCCAACCCCCAGGGTTGGACTTAATTGTCGGAATTGGGGGACGAAAAGCCAGCTGGCTCTGCCCCAGCTGTAGCGTCCCCCCCTCCCCAGCTTTGTTGCTGCTGAGATCCATCGACCTCTGCTCCTCCGACGTTCATCATTGACTCAAGCTGCAACAGATGAGGCTTGAGGCATAGATACAATACTAAGGCTACGCGTTTATTATAAATAAATCAGGACAAAGAAAACATGGCATCTCTCCTTGCTGTCTTCTCAGAGAGAGACTGAAAAACAAGAGCAGTGCAGAGAGGAAATTCCGTTCATGCCGGCAATCTGTGCTGGAATGTAAACAGACATGTGACATGCAACAATCCACATATCTGCAGCAAAAGGTGGAATGGGATTCCCAACATGAATGACCCTTGGGGGTGCTCTATGATTCTGTTATTCTGTTATGCTAAAGTGCCGCACCAAGGTGGCCATTTCCTATCCCAGGCTTCTAGGATGTATTGCATATGTCAGGCAGGTAACGTGTACCTCCTTGAGAGGTCCGGAGGGTGGCAACAGAAGAACAGGGCCTTCTCTGTGGTGGCTCCCTGTTTGTGGAATGCTCTCCCCAGGAAAGTTTGCCTGGCACCTTCATTATACACTTTTAGGCACCAGGCAAAGACGTTCCTTTTTAACCAGGCCTTTGGTTGATTTGATTGATGTCCTATGGCCTTCAAAAATGTGTGTGTGGTGTGTGTGTGTTACTGGGCTGTTGTCATTTTTATTTGATTATGCATTTTGTGGTTTTATAGTCCAGTTTTATCTTGTGAATCGCCCTTGAGCTGCCGCCGGTATATGACAGTATATAAATTCAAACAACAACAACAACAACAACATGACATTTCAGGATGAGACAAAGCTTAGGGGTGTAGCAGATGTGAAAAGTTCAGAAAAGAGCAATTAAAATGATTAAGGAGACTTTATTTGCGTAGCCGACAGGCCATAGCATCAAAGGACAAACACCGACAAAAATACATTACAAATATAGATACCATAAAATCTTATGACCTATTAAAACCCTAGGTAGAAACTGGATTATCATTCATCAATGACCCTCTGTCCCATGGGTGGCGGCCTTTTCTCTGGTAGATTGTTCCAGGTCGGTTAAGTAAATAAAGGTAAAAGGTAAAGGTACCCCTGCCTGTACGGGCCAGTCTTGACAGACTCTAGGGTTGTGCGCCCATCTCACTCAAAGGTTAAGTAAATAGACCAGCCAAATTGCAAGATTATAAATATAAATATAACCTCGGAGGAATGGTCAGGACAGGGAGAAAGATAATAATAACCAGATGCAGATAAATTAATAATCTCAGTACTTAAAACTTGGCAGAGGTAATAAAATAATAATAGTAAAACATAATGATAATAATAATAAGATCCTAGGCGAGGAATCCGGGTGACGACACTGATGTCATTCAGATAGCAGCTCTCAGTCTCATTGCTCTCTCGATAAATTTGGCAACCTTCTCTGTTGTCGAGCTGTTCTGGTCGGCCAGGAGTGAGAACAATTTGGCTTCACAAGAGCAGCCCGGGATGGCAGATAGGAGCGGCGTGATGGTCTCGTCCCTGAGATCTTTATATAGGGAGCAAGACAAGAGAACGTGTGACACAGTCTCCACGTATCCAGCTCCACAGGGGCAGAGCCAGTTCTCGAATGAATTTTTTTTATATCTACCTTCAAGAACAGCTGAGGGTAACATATTTAGTCTGGCCAGTGTAAAGGCCTGCCTGAGTTTTGGAATGGTTAAGGTAGACAAATAAGGTGCCCGAAAATCAAAGTGGGAGGGGGGCAGATAAGCGTACCAAGCACTAAATTTCTTAATATAGGCCAGATGATTCTGCTGCTCAATATCATTCATGCGCTGGTCAATAATGGTTTTTGCCTTGGGGAGACCCATTTTCAGGAGATGCTGTGCTTGGAGGCCACATATAAGTAGTTTTTGATGCACTACTTTGGACCACCAAGTTCTATGAGCATCTCGTGCTACTAGAGGTAGTAGTCCGGATGGGTTTAAATTTAAGCGAAGCCAATAGTTGAATGTTCTTAACCAGGTTCGGGTTTCGACGGAGAGGAGGCCAGTCTCCAGCCGTAGGGCCGCATTTGGTGCGCATGGTGGAATGGCTAGAATCTGTCTTAAGAAACTACCGCCCTATATCACTACTTAATGTGAATTACAAAATTTTTGCAGACATTTTGGCAAAAAGACTGAGGAGAGTGTTGGTAGGGGAGATTCATAAGGACCAAACTGGCTTTCTTCCAGGGAGACATATGTCAGATAATGTGAGGAACATTATAGACATTTTGGAACTGCTAGAAGTGGACATTAATAGGAAGGCTGTCTTAATTTTTGTGGACGCGGAGAAAGCCTTTGATAATATTTGTTGGAGCTTTATGAAGAAGAATCTCCAAGGGATGGGGGTAGGCCAAGGTTTTGAAAACGGTATAGGTGCAATATATTCAGAACAAAAAGCAAAGTTAATTGTAAATAATGTGGTTACGGAAGAAATACCTATAGAAAAAGGTACACGACAGGGATGCCCAATATCCCCTTTACTTTTCATATCAGTCCTGGAGGTTTTGTTAAACATGATCAGAGGGGACCAGTTGGTTAAAGGAGTTCAGGTCGGAGCTAGACATTACAAGCTAAGGGCATTTGCAGATGACCTAGTATTGACCTTGCAACAGCCAGATACTAGTACTAAAAGAGTATTAGAACTAATTGAGATATTTGGTCAAGTAGCAGGATTTAAACTGAACAAACAGAAAACGAAAGTGTTGGAGAAAAACCTAACAATGGCTGAAAAAGAGAAATTTCAGAGTGAAACAGGTTTAGTGATAACAAAAAAAGTGAAGTACCTGGGGGTAAACTTAACATCTAAGAATGTGAACTTATTTAAGGAGAATTATGACAAATGTTGGACAGAAGTAAAGAAAGATCTAGAAATATGGTCAAGGTTGAGACTTTCCTTGTTAGGCCGAATTGCTGTCATCAAGATGAATGTATTGCCTAGAATGTTGTTTTTATTTCAGACGCTGCAGATTTTGGACAAGATGGACTGTTTCAAGAAGTGGCAGAAAGACATATCTAAATTTGTCTGGCAGGGCAAAAAGCCCAGAATTAAATTTAAGATTTTAACTGATGCAAAAGATAGAGGGGGGTTTGCCCTGCCGGACTTAAGACTCTACTATGAATCGGCAGCTTTCTGCTGGTTGAAACATTGGCTGCTTCTTGAGAATACAGACATTTTGGATCTGGAAGGGTTTGACAATAGATTTGGCTGGCATGCATATATATGGTATGACAAGGTAAAATTGCATAAAGGTTTCAAAAACCATATTGTTAGGAAAGCTTTATACAATGTTTGGATGCGGTATAAAGATTTATTGGAAAGTAAAACTCCCAGGTGGTTGTCACCAATGGAAGCCAAAGAGGTGAAAAAACTTAATATGGAGCCTAAATGGCCAAAATACTGTGAAATTTTAGAACAAGATGGTGAAAAAGTTAAATTACAGAGTTATGAGAAAATAAAGTCCAAAGTACGAGACTGGTTGCATTACCTTCAGATAAATGAGATATTTAAACAGGACAGGAAAATAGGCTTTCAGATGGAGAGGTCAAAATTAGAAACAGAACTGTTAGAACCCAATACTAAGAACTTGTCAAGAATGTATAATTTGCTGTTGAAATGGAATACACAGGATGAAATGGTGAAATCAGCTATGATTAAATGGGCACAAGACATTGGTCATGACATTATGTTTGCTGACTGGGAACAGTTATGGACCACCGGTGTTAAGTTTACGGCATGTAATGCCTTAAGAGAAAACATAATGAAAATGATCTACAGGTGGTACATGACCCCAGTCAAGCTTGCAAAAATTTACCACTTGCCCAATAATAAATGCTGGAAATGCAATGAGACTGAAGGTACCTTTTACCACCTTTGGTGGACCTGCCCGAAGATTAAAGCCTTTTGGGAAATGATCTATAATGAAATTAAGAAGGTCCTTAAATGTACCTTTCATAAGAAACCAGAGGCTTTTCTCCTGGGCATGGTCGGCCAATTGGTGTCAAGGAAGGATAGGACGTTTTTTATGTATGCCACTACAGCAGCAAGAATTCTTCTGGCAAAGTATTGGAAGACACAAGAACTACCAACTCTGGAAGAATGGCAGACGAAGGTGATCGACTATATGGGACTGGCAGAGATGACCGGCAGAATCCGTGACCAGGGGAAAGAGACAGTGGAAGAAGACTGGAAGAAATTTAAAATATATCTTAAAAATTGTTGTAAAATTGAGGAGTGTTAAGATGTTAAGGAACTAAGAAATAGAGAACTGCAGCTGTAATCAATAAGTTAAAGAAAAAAGAATTTAATGAAAGTGAACTTAATAATTAGTTAATTGGAGGAGTTGCTGAAGAAATGTGAAACAAGGATGCAGAAAAGGGGAGGTATGGGGAAGTCCGGGAAGCAAGGTGTATGAAAAAAAGGTTACGGAATTATACATGTTTATATGTTTGTATGTTTGTGTATTGTGTATTGTTTGTGTTTATTTTGTGTTTGGAAAACCAATAAAAATTTATTTATTTTTTTAAAAAAGAATCTGTCTTAAGAATTTAGACTGGACCGCTTCAAGTGTGCGGCAATGATTTCCCATCCAGATTTGGGCCCCATAGAGTAATTGCGCCAAGGGTTTTGCTTGAAAGACCTCCAGAGCTGCTGGGATATGTCTGCCCCCCTTCGTAAAGTAAAAGCGAGACAGTATTTTGGCGCTTTGAGATGCTTTTTCCCTAGCATATTTATGATGGGCCTCCCAGGCCCCTGTTGACTGGAAAACTACTCCGAGGTATTTGAAAATTTTGACCTGTTCTATTGGCTGATTGTCCATCTCCCATGATTAAGGAGATGGAGAGGTCCCCCTAGGAAGAAAGATGGCAGTGTTTGGGTCTATTTAGTTTAGAGAAAAGGCAAGTAAGAGGCAACATGTGGTTGCATACTCTCCTTCCTTGGAGGTTTTTAAGCAGAGGTTGGATGGCCATCTGTCATGGGATGCTTTAGTTGAGATTCTTGCACTGCACGGGGTTGGACTAGAAGACCCTCGGGGTCCCTTCCAACTCTACAATTCTAGGATTCTGTGACGTTTATAAAATTTGCATGGCAGGGAGAAAGTGGATAGAGAAACGTTTCTCTCTCTCTCCCTAACATTAGAACTCATTAAACGTTCTGAATGGACATTCAATGAAGCTGAATGTTGGAGGGTTCAGGACAGATTTTTTGTTTTGTTAAATCGTTTTTATTAATTTTCCAATAAAAAACATCCAATTAACATATCAAATCATAATCCAATAAAAATAAAAAAAAGATCAAATTATCTTCCAAATTATAATTATTAATTTTCGGGGCTTCCCATAGTCTGGACCTTGAAGCATATCTCCAAATCTCAATCCTGCCTCTCGTCGTTGTTTCCGTATTTCCACATCTCGATTTTAATGCTCTAAACTTCTTTGTCTCTGGCTCTGCGATTCTCAATCATGTCAGAAATCGTATATCCTTTTGTCTGTCGAATACAGCTTTGTTTGTGTATATATACTTTTCCAACTGTGGTTCAGGACAGATTCAAGGAAGTCCTTCTTCATGCAAGGCATAAACTATGGAACTCACTCCCACAGGAGGCAGTAATGCACAGGATGGGTGTGTTCTACCTCTGTGGTTGGGGGAAGAAATGCTTCTCCATACCAGATGTTGGAAACCACAGATGGGGAGATGGCTCTTGCGCTTGGGTCCTGGTAGTGTATGATGGATCAAACCAGTAGCCCATCTAGTCCACCATCCTGTTTTCACAGTGGCCAACCAGATACTTTTTGAAGACCACAGTAAGGATCTGAGTGCCACAGTGCTCTCCTGCTTTGTGCACTCTCCCTGGCAGTGATTATCCAGAATTTCAGGCAGACGTTCACTCCACCCTTTTAACTGGAGATGCCAAGGTTTTCCATTTGCAAAGCAGATTCCCCATACCCCAAGGAGCTAATACCTGGAACCATGATTTCCTTTGACGCAACCTCCCTGAATAGGTGGGTCTGGGATCAACATTCTGACCATGTTTGGTGCACAGAGGAAATGTAATCTGATCATGGCATGAAAATGTGGGCTGGATGCTGAGCTGGAGTTTACTAATTGGAAGACTGTCAACTTGGTCTTTGAAGAGACTCTTCCACTCAGAGTAGA